AAGATCGGATTTAGATTGTATTCATTTCAACAGAGGAACTGATTAATAAAAAAAATAGCTAAAGTCATGTCTGTATCTACAATATCTACCTCCATAGCCACACCCCAGTGACCTCACCACATCCTTCCATCCATAACGTCTGTCATACACTCATAAGCCTGTCTATCTGTGATCTGTGATTTACTCATTAACCTGTGATCTTCGACTGACTCGTTAACCTGTCGATCTGCGATTGACTCATTAACCTGTCGATCTGTGATCGACTCATTACCCTGTCGATCTGGGATTACTCACAAGCGCTGGTTTATTTCTGACAGACAATAATGACTCCTGTCAATCAAATAAATTAATGCATTTTATTGATTACGGTTGTGGCTGTTTTTATTTTTATTTGTTAGGATTCTCAAGACATTCATATTTGTCAATGCTTTGTGGTCATAATAAATCTGTCTCACGTTTAACCGATGACTTATAATTGTTTAGAAATTATTCATAATGTGTCTATAAATGTTTAAATTGACAGTTGATGAACATAGTATAAACCCTTCATAAACCCTTAATGAAGGTAACGTTATCGTAAAGCGTTACCCATTTATTGAGAAGGGGTAGCTGCATCTCAATATGGCGACTGGAGTATGGGCGAGTGGGTGTGTCGAAAGGAAAGGACTGGGCGTGTGGAAAGGAGTGGGTGTGTCGAAAGGAAAGGACTGGGCGTGTGGAAAGGAGTGGGCGTGTCGAAAGGAAAGGACTGGGCGTGTGGAAAGGAGTGGGTGTGTCGAAAGGAAAGGACTGGGCGTGTGGAAAGGAGTGGGTGTGTCGAAAGGAAAGGACTGGGCGTGTGGAAAGGAGTGGGTGTGTCGAAAGGAAAGGACTGGGCGTGTGGAAAGGAGTGGGTGTGTCGAAAGGAAAGGACTGGGCGTGTGGAAAGGAGTGGGTGTGTCGGCGCAGTTAGGGAAACCCGGAAAAGGTCAGTGGTTCCTACAGAGGACCCAGGGAGGAGTCGTTTTTTTTTCTTCTTCTCAAGACTGGAAAAAGATGGTGGAAGCGGACGGTGAAGTGGATTCTGAATACAATGGCGGTAGAATCAAGGAGAATTGGAGTATTGTCCAAAAGAATGGAAAACGGAGCCAAGTAGAGTACAGTGATGAGAATGTAACTTCCTATCTAGTAGGAGGACGGTTTGTTAATGAGGAGCAACTGATCGAAATACCAATCTGGAGGAATCCATTTGAGATATCCAAACTGGTGGAGAGAGTGCTGGGTAAAGTGAAGGCTGTGAGGATCACGAGAGGCGGGCTTGTTTGGATTTTTTTTGGTGCTTCTGCGGATCAAAAGCAACGTGCGTTGCGTCTCACCCTGATTTGATACGTTTGAAGTATCGTGTGTGTCTCTTAGGAACAGGGCATCCCTCAAGGGGGTTATATCTGGCCTCTCGTGGGAAGTCGATGTTGAAGAGATTAAAAATATTCCTGGAATGATTGATGTCGGATGATTGGTGAAAAAGTGAAGAGTTTATCTGTTCTTTTGTGTTTTGATATGGAGTCTCTCCCTACTCGAGTGCAGCTGGGGGTATATTAACTACAGAGTCAGAGCATCTATCCCAAGACCAATGCAGTGTGATCACTGGAAAGCTTTTGGTCATGTTTCAAGTGTTTGCAGAAGGGAGAAGCCGAGATGTCCAAGTTGTGGAAAAGATCATATCATGTGTTTTAATTGTGAGGAAAATGTGACATGTTGCAATTGTGGTGGGAACCATGAAGCTGCATCTTCCGAATGCCCCACAACGGTGAAAGAGAATGAGGTGGACAAAGTCAGGGCTGTCCAGAGCAATTCATATGCAGCAGCTGTTAAAAGGGTTGAGGGTTTGAATGGTGCTCCTGAAGAGTCCATGGTGGTGGATAGGCCTTCACTGCAGGCTGCAAGGGTTGCCTTTCACCAGCAGGACCCTGACATTTTAAAGGTTAAGAAGGTGGACTTTGTGGCCTTTATAGCTATGGTGATTAATGGCACTGCCCAGGTGGAGAGAAGGTCCAGGAAGATAGATATCATTGTGGATGCGGCGGAACGGTTCCTGGGGCTGAAAGTTTTCTCGGCGAAGGAGTTACATGGAATATTGTCACAAGCCGTACCACCCCCTCAGGGCCTAGAGCCGGAGAAGGGAGATATGGAGATTAGAAAGAAGGAAGAAGTGAGAGTTTTGTTTTGTTTTTGTCAATGTACTATTTTTATTTGGGTGGATTAAGTTAGTTTCCCTATCACATATGAATTTTGTTTTGACCTTGTTTTGGTTTTTCAACCCGTCCAGTTGGTGGCGGCAATGCACCTTTTCGGGTTGTAGTCTGCCATAAAACTCACAGAAGAAGAAGACGAAGAAGAAGAAGAAGAAGAAGAAGAAGAAGAAGAAGAAGAAGAAGAAGAAGAAGAAGAAGAAGAAGAAGAAGTGGGTGTGTCGAAAGCGGTTAGACAGTTTTTATTGAGCAGTGTGTTTCTTACCAGGCAACTACCGTACATTGAGCTACCATACCGCGAGAGTTTGGACTTCTGTTTTTAAATCAGAGGATGAGTCTGAGTCGTATTTCACTGTTAGTTTTACACAAATAATTGTAAAGTTTCAGTTATAAAACTGACTATTGTTTGCAAAAAGGCAAAAAGGCAAACTCCGCTCCATCATTCATTGAATCAGATGGTTCATTCATCACAAAACCCACTGATATTGCCAACTACCTTAATGTTTTTTTCATTGGCAAGATTAGCAAACTTATGCATGACATGCCAGCAACAAACGCTGACACTACACATCCAAGTAAACCTGACCAAATTATGAAATACAAGCATTGTAATTTTGAATTCCGTAAAGTAAGTGTGGAAGAGGTGAAACAAGTATTATTGTCGATCAACAATGACAAGCCACCGGGGCCTGACAACTGGATGGAAAATTACTGAGGAGAATAGCGGACGATATTGCCACTCCTATTTGCCATATCTTCAATTTAAGCCTACTAGAAAGTGTGTGCCCTCAGGCCTGGAGGGAAGCAAAATTATTCCCCTACCTAAGAATAGTAAGGCCCCCTTAACTGGCTCATATAGCCGACCAATCAGGCTGTTACCAACCCTCAGTAAACTTTTGGAAAAAATTGTGTTTGACTCTCATGGAGAGTTCGTGTAGGCTTACCCTGACGTGACGTTTTGATAACTGCGCAAATCTCTCTCGGACAAGGTAACTTTTATCAATATATTCACCTGTAATTACCCCCCCCAAAAACGAAATGCTAATTAGCTGCTAATGTGTCTATCATACAGAACTACACATCTTGTCCCTCAAGGCACATTTCTCAATGCAAACTCATCGACAAGCAGCAAGTAACCTAGCAAATAGATATTATAGCCTTTTTATTTTCTCATGTAAATAATTGATAGTGTTTTTTGTGTGTTCTTGTTTAGCATTTTTCTAATTACCTAGCTAGCATTTTTGTATTCATTTAATTTTTTTGAATTACCCTCTGGCCTTTGTAGTGAACTATAATAATAAATAATATGCCATTTAGCAGACGCTTTTATCCAAAGCGACTTACAGTCACGCGTGCATACATTTTTGTGTAATGGGTGGTCCCGGGGATCGAACCCACTACCTTGGCGTTACAAGCGCCGTGCTCTACCAGCTGAGCTACAGAGGACCACACTAGCTGAGTGGCGCAGTGGTCTAAGGCACTGCATCGCAGTGCTAACTGTGTCACTAGCGATCCTGGTTCGAATCCAGGCTCTGTCGCAGCCGGCCGCGACCGGGAGACTCATGGGCGGCGCACAATTGGCCCAGCGTCGTCCAGGGTAGGGGAGGGAATGGCCGGCCGGGATGTAGCTCAGTTGATAGAGCATGGCGTTTGCAACGCCAGGGTTGTGGGTTCGATTCCCACGGGGGGCCAGTATAAAAAAAATATGTATTCACTAACTGTAAGTCGCTCTGGATAAGAGCGTCTGCTAAATGACTAAAATGTAAATGTAGCTAACCTTAGGTCTCTCCATCGATCAGAAGCAAGGATGGTTCTGCGCTATGTACCGGATTGTAACCACTACTCCGATAAGCACACATTCCTTTTATTGTTTTCCAACCTCTGTAAGCAAGAGGCATCGCTGGAGCCGTGTGATAAGGTAAGCTCTGTTTGCTAGCTGCTAACAAGCAATTTTGGTTAGGTCAAAGATCTGTGGTTAGCTAGGTGCTTATAAAAATTTGCTAGATACAGTACCCACCGACTGTAGTTACGTGTACAACGCACGTTGCCTTCCTTACAAGAAAAAAGAAAACCAGCATATGCTAGCTGGTTGTGACCTTTTTGTTGACAAGTCTTTAGTGAGCTAGTCAGCTACTTTTTTATGTGGTGACATGCTAGCTAGCGTTAGCCCACCACGGAAGGGATATTTAGCTAGCTAGCTAACATTAACTCGCCGTTCGTGTAGTCAGTCTTGCTAGCTAACTTTAGGCCGGTATATTGGGGATTTATTATTCTCCTAAATTGATGGGATGACTAACTTAGAAAGAATGCATTCTTGACTGGGCTAATGTAGGCTGTGACACCTGGCAAGGCTGTGATTGATGTGAAGAGCTGTTTTAGGGGGTAAAATGAGATAAGGATTGTGTCTTCAAATGCTAGACTATACTAGTTCTTTGTGATCTGTGAACCTTCCTTGGACGTAGGAATGATGTCTAAGGGAGCTGGCTCTTCTCACTATGATAGGTTGTTATGATAATCTTGTGCCTGGCTGAAGTGTGCAACAAATGGCGCCGAGGAGATGAGACCAACCCCTGAATCAATGGATTGGCTGAGTAAGTTTAAACCACACTCAGTCCTCTACTCTAATTGGCCAGCAGAGAAGTGGGAAACTTTCTCTGTCAGTGTATTTGGGTATTGTTTCTGAAACAATGTTGTTAGTTCTCTGGAGTGTCCTGCGAGGCATCTCAGAAAGCCCGTATATACGAAACATCATATTTACCATTGAAGGTTTTT